TATATATATATATATATATATATATATATATATATATATATATATATATATATATATATATATATATATATATATATAAAATAAAAGGATGCACCATAAATCAGATTGAGCGCCTCTTACCTTCTATCGCCCCCATGCGGTCTTGTGTGGAACTGATAGCACACAACACTTCCTCTGGACTCACACACATGAACATGCTCCAAACATCACGCGTGTAAAAGTCCACAGTGTGCGCATTTGAGATACTTAACGATATGGAGAGAAAGCGCTTAGCTTCATCTATTTTTCTTTTTAAAGTGTCGATGGGTATGTCATTAAATGCCATTGTTCACGGGCACAGAAAAGTGAGAATATTTAGCGTGAGCAGCAGCTGTTGACACAGAATTTAAGACATAAGTAGTCAAATCAGGATATCACTGAGCCACTGAGCGAGCGAATGTACGGCCATGTTGGGTGTACCAGTCTGCGTTTAGTTGAATGGGCGAATCGAATATGTTGCCCTCACAAAAATGGCGTTTTTTTATTAGTAATGCCTTGCGACCATCCGTACGTCATTATTGTGCGTCTTGACTCTTCACACGAGAAACATCCGTTTTGTCCACATACTAGTGTGAGCAGATGTTAAGCTAACGTGAGACATGGCACCTTTAAAACAAAATGCAAAAAGTAAAGGTCCAATTAGAGGAAAATGCTTTAATAACAAATTCGCACATGGTGGTTTATCACACCAAGCCAAAAGGAAAAGAAAATGGGTTCCGGAGAACAAAGTTTTTGATGGTAGTTTAAAAGAGGGTGAGTAAATGTGTATTCAAGGTAGAAAATTCACTCTGAATAAACTACTTTGTCATAAGGGTCAATTAAAGACGTCTGAAATGAGAAAAAATCTAGTGTAAAACGCACGTGCCTAGTGCTTAGATATGCATTCTTTGTAGTAATGTTGGTTACATATATTTTTGAAAGTGTTTATACCATTTCCTTAAAGTATAATCCAAGGCTTCTTTTGCATACATCGCTTTCAACCAGTATATACAATAAATAGTTCATAAGTGTGCATAAAAAGGCCTAAACTTGGAATGTATTCTGTTTGAATCTCATCTCTCTCTCAGGTCAGGGGTTTGCTTTGAAAAGGAAGGAGAAAATAAAACATGAATACAACAAACTTCTTCGAATAGAGAGGAAAAAAATGCAACCATCAAAAATCCAGTTAGAGGAGGAATATCCCGAGCATCTGAGACATCTATACCTGGCGGAAAGAGAACGACTAGATGAAGAAGAACAAGAAAAAAAGGAGAAAAGATCTAAAGGGAGAGCAGTAGATGAAGAGACAGAGGCAGACGATGAACTAAAAACAGTGCTGGATTCTCCTTTCACTGAGAAACACATCTCAAACACGACGACTGACAATACTACTGCCTCTGATTCAGCTAATGAACCAGCAGAGTCTGACAGGTACTGTAACAGCTAGTATGTATCCGTTTATGTATGTATGTGTGTGTGTGTGTGTGTGTGTGTGTGTGTGTGTATATATACATACACACACACAAATATACAAAGCCACATTCCTGATTTCTGATTTGTGTCATCAGCTCCCACAAGACTCCATTCATCCAAAGGAAGCAGAAGCAGAAAATGTCATCGTATAAGAAGACAAAGCAAGAATATGAAAGGATAAAGGAGGAACGTGCACGAAAAAGTGAGGTGAGGAAATAAAACCTAGCAAATGTATCAGTATGATGGAATTGTTGTACAGTTTTCCATTCCCTAATGAATCTCCTGTCATTAAGGACCCATTATGTCATGTAAACATACATATTTTAATCATCCTTTACGTTCTTTGGCAAACGATTGATGCATGTTTTATTATGCGTGTCTGTGTAGGAATTCTTGAAAGACAAAGCTCAGCGAGAGGAGGCTCTGAAGAAATACAAGGAGAAGAAGACGGCAACATATCAGTTGTTGAAAAGGAAAACCAAAAAGGGTCAGCCCAACCTTAACCTGCATATGGAGCTATTGCTGCAAAAGATTCAAGCTCAACGCAAATAATTCAGTATCATCCATAAAATTAGACTAAAGTTAAAATGGACCATTACACAATAAACTGCAGTTTGAGTGAGGAGTTTTTGTATTTTTTTTTAACTCAATGTGTATACCTTTGTCTTTTCCTGTAATATTTCTTGTAAATAATATATTAAATTATACTCATCTTAAGTTAATTCAAGCTAACAGTAATGAACTGATGCTATGACAGTAAACTTATGGAAAACATGAAGCTTAATAATATCTATTATGTGGTAAATCCATTTTTATCATTATATTTAAGTTAATAATGGTCAGTAGCCTAAAAGTACAATAGTGCCTAAAAGTACTTCCTTAAACATTTATAGCATAAGTTTCGGTCCTTTTCTCTAACCGCTCTTTTAAAAATATTTTTGTGACATGATGTTGGAATGGTATCTTTTGTTTATTAGGTGAAAAGCATTGATATCAAAATAGAAATAAAAAATACCAAATGCTCAAATACAAATATTTAAATTTGTTGATTCTGAATTTTGCAAAGTATGTAGCATTTCATACAAAAATATTTAAAATAACATAAAACATAAGGCATTGATGCATTAGTAGCAATATAAGAATCTCCCAGCAGCTCCAGTAACTGTAATATGATTTCATGAACAGAGGCGGAGAGTGTAGCCATTGAGTCATATGGCCCCTCCCTCTTTATTTGACTCTTCCCCCACATCATCATAGTCTGTTTTTAAAAACAAGCAAATTCACATGTTCATCTTTATAAATGCATCACAATTTAATTTAAATAGAGTTTAAGTGAGCAACATAATGATTGAAAGTAGATTATGTAAAAAGGTGACAATAACTTACCAAACAGGTTTCTCTCATCTTCATTGCTGTTCTTCACATCATCATACTCCTCCTGATCTCCCTCTGATACACATGTGAAATAAAACCTCACATTGTAATGTGTAACACAGCTTGTGCCATAGTTCTCTTTCTCCTCATGACTGTCTGAGACTATTAGATTTATGTATGTTCAATATATCATAGAAACAAATATAAGAGTGATAAATTGCAGTTCTGTGTGACTCACTCATTACATCTTGAAAGTTCTGTCCAATAATGATGACATCATCATAATGATCTAATGTGTCCACTACACATACATGAAGATATAAACAGAACAAATGTCACATCATCATATAAGTACTGAGCATCAAGGTATTGTTAAATATAGTCACAAAAAAAAGTAAAACACCTTTTTTAATATCAGAGTTCTGTCCGCTCGTCATGATATCATCATAGCTCTCAGGTCTGTATTCTACAAATTTAACATGAGACATTACACCCATACAATATATATACTGTATGTATATATATATAGAGAGAGAGAGAGAGAGATTTCATATCAGGGGTGTCCAAACCTGTTCCTGAAGGGCCACTGTCCTGCAGAGTTTAGCTCCGACGTTAATTAAACACACCTGAACCAAAGTAATCAAGGTCTTAAGACTCACTGGGAGATTCTCAAATGGAAGGACACATCCTAGTAAGGATGCATCCTTCCTAGTCCAGTCCTTCTGAGTCTTCAAGTCTAGAGTCCTTCTCAGCATTAAATGCTAGAATGAGACGGTCTACTTAGTGTACATGGCTACGTCATAAATGTTTCTGCCCCCGCGGTCACAGCAGGAAAATACTACTAGAATTATAATTTCAAGACTTTTTTTTTACTTTCTTTTAATGCAGTACAGGTAATGACAACTGTATGTGGTCACCCACTGGTTTATATTACACATAGTTTATCATTATGTGATTTATTTGCAACTAAACAAATGAAAACATAATGCCTTCACCTTTTTTCCCCGTATTGCATAACCTAATGAAATTGAACAAGCTCAGTGTCGATTCATTTTCAGATAATTCATTTTTCATAAATTGGAATCTGTGCAAAGGATTGTGGACAATTGAAGGATGCGAAAGATACACTTGATGCATCCTTCAAAACAGGCTGAATGAAGGATGGGAAATGAAGACTGCCTACTAAGGATCCTTCAATTTAAAATGTTCTTCGATGGAGCTTGATGACGTGGCAGCCCAGATTTGCAGCCTTACAAGGATGCGTCTTTCGGTTTGAGAAGCAGCCACTAGCAACTTACAGGCAAGTGTGTTGGAGCTGGTTGAAGCTAAACTCTGTATAATATTGGCCCTCCAGGAGCACTGAACACCCCTATTTTATATATTTTAAACATTTCATCCAATTACAGAATAACAGAGTGACACCTGTCTCACGATCTGGTTTCAGTCTGTCAGTAATAACATCATCATAGTATCCCGGTGTGACTTCCTTCACCATCTCATCTGCATCAAGACATGTTGTATATTTTGGGCATTTTTTGAATATTTTTGGAAATAAACTGTAAAATATGCTCTTGCAGGCCTGCCATTGTTGACATCATCATAATATGCAGTGTTGAGCACTTTTTCTAATAAGATAAAAGTTTTAGTATTATGAACAGTTGAGTCATTGGTCACATATATCCTTTAGTGGTAGCATTATATTTTATATGTGTGATTTCTCTCTAACCTGAGAGAAGCTCATCAGCATCTTCATACCCAGAATGCAGTTCTTCAGAGATGAGACTCCCTGTTAAAGGAGAGCAGAACAGTCAGAAACATGTTCATCATTACAAACAGACTGAATCCTCATTTCCTCTGGATCATAAAGCATTGTGTTAGTGACAACTTATTACTTACATTTTAAAAACGTTAAAGAAAGAAATACCATTTTTTTTGTTTGGCCTATAAGCAAACACACATATATCATCACATAAACCCATTCCTCACTGCCTTCCAGAAGTATACACACAGGAAGAGACAAACACACACCTGTACCTACACTTAAAAACATATAAACCTTATCATATAAACATATAAACCTTATTATTACCGTCTAAAATACACACAGGAAGAGACATTCTCTCTCTTTCTCTTTCTCTTTCTCTTTCTCTCTCTTTCTCTCTTTCTCTCTTTCTCTCTCTCTCTCTCTCTCTCTCTCTCTCTCTCTCTCTCTCTCTCTCACACACACACACACACAAACATGCACCTGCAGCTCTGTGGTTTTCTGTCAGGAATTCTGTGGTTTGAAGCAGGAGGTTTAACAGGACTAATAATAGATGAACATCAACTGTCTGACAGACTCTCTTATTAATGGTATTAAATGAGATTGATGGCTCATGTCTCACCCCTCTGAGTGAAGTGATTGTGTCTGTGCTGAATCTCCTCATAAACGGCCTCAGTCGTCGTCCTGTGTCTCCTCTTAGAGAGAGCTGTGAGTGTAGACAGACAAACCTGCTGTCAGTTCACAACACATGACTGATCACACACTGAATAAGACACAATATGACAGTCTCTGGATCTCTCCTACCTCTCCTCATCACTCTGTTCTGCTGAATCAGTATAAGCAGTGGCACTAAGAGCAGTAAGAGCACAACTCCCAGAACAATCACAAGCACTGGGGGGACGGAGGGAGACGCTGCTGGAGGAGTTTGTGAAGGAGTGACTGATGTTGAGCGCACTGAAGGAGAAACTGGAGGAGAAGCTGATGATGTTGTGGCAGGAGTAGTGGACACTGACACATCTGACAAATCTGTCAAAAGACATAAAAAATCATGACTGATTTAACGTATATTATTAACTCTAAAATGATCAAATGAATAGTATTCCTTTATGTTGTTATATGTTTTGTTGTGACCTGCACAGGTGAGTCTAACAAGCTTTTTCCGGGAGCAGTCAGTGTGGTTATTCAGGGAGAGAGGACAGTCCCACAGGTGAATCTCATTCCCTCTGCACTCGACTTTGTTCATCCACACAACACCTTCACCAGCACCAAAGGCGGAAATCCCATCAGTCCTCAGTGCTGCTCCACAACCCAGCTGCCTGCAGACCACCTGAGCATCGCTGATGTCCCACTGATCATCACAGACTGAGCCCCACACAGCGTTATGATACACCTCCAGCCTCCCAGAGCACCGGCCCTCCCCTCCAATCAGTCTGAGAGGAATATGATCTAAAACACACACACATCAACCAGCACTGACTAGCATCAGCACAACATTTACATTTACAGAAAACCGATTATTGTAGGTAAATAACAAAAATGCAGATATTAATAATTTAAACAGTAATATACTAGGAAAATATAGTCCTACATTAACAAACATTCAACAAATCTGTTGTGACTAAACTTACTTGTGCATTGTCTCTGGTAAGGAGATGGTGAGGTAAAACATGTCAGATGACTCTGAGAAGACTCATAAGTTTCCTCCTCTGAGATTACAACATGATCAAATGAAAAAAAGTAAAGAGCACATTAGGATGAAACATATGACATCTTTCAGGGAAAACAAATTATCATTGTGAAAACTGCTAAACATTTTAGCCTCACAAATGATTTTACTATTCCTATCAGCTCACTTTAGTTTTCAGAAATATTCATTTATTTACCACATTAGACATAAAATGTATGTACAGAAACATGATTATTGAGGCCATATTAACATTTTTAAATATTATCCAACCTGAGCAGGTGATCTTAGCCACTTCATCTTCACTACAGTTATTCTGTCCCCAGGTTGAAGATGGACACTGCCATAAAGTGGAATCATGTGGTCGACATGCAACTTCATCTAGCCAGTTAGGAGCTGATTTCACTCTTGCTGTAGAATCAGACAAAACCCCAGATCTTCCACAGTTCAGCTCTTGACAGATCAGACTCGCTGTGTCTCCGTCCATCTGATTCCAGCACATATTACCCCAGGATCCATTGTAGAAAACCTCCACATTCCCTTCACAGCCCTCAGTTAACCTGATCTCTTTAAACTCTAGATGCAAAACAATGAGCATTAAAACAAATGGAATTCAGATTATCACCAAAATAACTAGTTAATTCAAAGATAATGCATGCCGAAATCACTGAAAGCATCTTAAATATTACGTCAGCCTAATAATATGCCATTAAAATGTAGAATATTTTTCTGAAAAACAATAAATACATCTATGGAAAGCATTTCCACTACTGTACTGTTTACCTGAGCACACGACTCCTACATCCTCCTTGT